TTACCTGTCAGGGACGATGACGTACCTGTTGGGGTGCTTGCGAGGCCGGGACAAGGAGAGGCCCACAGCATTCATCACCTTGGGTCTGCTTGCCGTGGCTGTGGGACCGGCCATCAAGAAGTACCTGCCCAAGATCATGGAAGTGATCAAAGCTTCGTTGCCCACCAAGGTTTTCACTTTTGGTTTTACTTCCTCTTTTATTTTTATCTTTGTGTCTCATGTCTGCATCTGTATCTTTGCTTATGGATTTAATCCATTGATAACTCATTGTTTGCTTTTAATTCCAGGACACCCCAAGCAAGAAACGTGTTGTGGAGCCAGCTGTTTATGTGTGCGTCAGTTTGGTAGCTAGAGGGGTGGAAGGGGCAGTCCGGAATGATGTCAAAGAACTGCTGGAACCTATGATGGCCACAGGACTTTCACCCCCTCTGACTCTAGCTCTCCAGGAGTTAGCCACAGAGATCCCTTCACTCAAGGTTGGTGTTCAGAGAGTGGGTCAAGTACCTTGTTGCTGTCCCTTTATTTTCGACATGTTGGTGGGTGGACTACCAAGTCTATGATGCTAGTTATTCATAATGCCAGTAGAAAAGGATAGAAAGTGAATTGAGAAAAATAATATATATTTATGTGCTTTTTGCACATATATTTGTATCTGCACATCCTTTATATACCTGTACACATAGAGTAGTTAATTCAATTAGCTCTTATAAAATGTGAACAGAACCAGTTGAATTGGTTTCCAAACAGCATATTTTGACCCCCTTGTCCTGTGTTCCAGCGTGACATTGCAGAGGGATTGCTGAGGATGCTTTCCCAGATCCTGATGCACCGTTCCACCCCCCATTCGCGATCAGGTGTGGCCCCTCCCCCTTCCTCCCCAGACCACCAGGACACTGGGAGCCTTGTCCTGGCACTCCGGACACTCGGATCTTTTGACTTTGAGGGTACAGGTTCGTTTAGAGGTGGGTTTTCTTTTTGTGAATCCTCAACATATTGATTCTCATTATGCTGGTTATAATGTCCTCATACGAAGCTCATCTCCAAGCTTGCTGAACTGACTTGATGCATGGCCCGGCCCACTAACCCAAGCTGTGTTTACGAAGCTAAGTCCTTGTGTTTTTAATTGAAAAAAAATAGCAATGTGTTCAAGGTTCAATCCTCTCCTATCATTATAGAGCCCTGCATATTCCTGGAAGATCTATGACCCTTCTACCACAGTTTTACAAATATATACAATTTTAAGTTTGCATTGTGCAGCATACTAATGCAAGTAAGATGTATATTTGTTTTTCCCTATTCTTCTTTTGTTGCAAAATGGTTTTGGCCTTTTTTTTTTTAGCCAGACTTAAAACTTTATTGTATATCATTGATCATTATGAAACATACTGGTTTTGTGACAACAACAAATTAATAAATTAGTATAAGACAAATAAAATACTTTAATCCTAGCCATTCATTTGAGCATAATGATGAGGCAATCCAGACAAGGGGGCAGATCTTACAGTTGAGCTTAGTGCGAGGGTAGTTAAAGTTAATTAAAGGGTTTCTTGTCATGTCCTCATGCTTGCAGGCCAGTCACTGATGCAGTTTGTGAGACACGTAGCTGACCACTATCTTAGCAGCGAACATAGAGAAGTACGTCTGGAAGCTGTGCGAACTTGCTGTCACCTCCTAAGACCGACCTTTGCTTCTCTTGGTCGACGAGCATCACAGTCACAAACTCATATAATTTTCAACATTGTGAGCAAGGTGCTGTGGGTCTGCGTAACTGATATGGGTATGTTATGCTATATTTACTTTATCATGTGAAGTAAATTGTAAAAGTATATTTTGCAAGTGTGTAAAAATACAACTTGTGATAATCATTATTTAGATTAAAGTTCATGGATTTCAAAATAGTTCTGAAAAATTTGGATTTGGTTTCATCTAAAAGTATTTTTTTTCCTTATACTGAAGGTAGAATTCAAGCAAAACTTTCAAGATTAATCACCATAAACTTGAGAAAAAAGTATATAATGAGCAGCAACAAATTATGTATGCTGACTTTATGACTCGCACTAGAGTAGCTCTTTCCCAGATGTCAGTATATACCTCATTTTTGCCATTTTTGCAGATCCTGATGTCCGTCTGTGTGTGCTGGCATCCCTTGATGAGAGTTTTGACAGCCACTTAGCACAACCAGAGAATCTAAACGCTCTAATTTATGCTCTTAGCGATGAAGTCTTTGAAATTCGAGAACACGCAATAACAATACTAGGACGTCTCTCAGCCATAAATCCTGCATATGTCCATCCTCTCTTGCGCAAGGCTCTCCTCAAGGTAAGTAAAATGAAAATGGAATATTAATCCTTTTGGTGACACATTTTTTTATCTAAGATAAATAACGTTTTTACTTGAATCGGCACATCCTTATTTTTGTTGGTAGAAAAAGCCAATTAACTTCATGTGTTCTTATTAGATTCTGGACGAGTTGGACTACAGTGGCATAGGTCGCAACAGGGAACTTAGTGCACACATGCTCGGCCAGCTCATCGGCAATGCACAGAGGTTCATGCGGCAGTTTGTACAAGCCATTATGTCCGTTCTTGTTCCTAAACTGAAGGATCAAGATCCTAATCCAGCTGTTACCATGTATGTCTTGATGGCTATTGGAGATTTAGCTCAGGTGAGTGTAGGATTTGTTGATACTTTGTGATATATTATGGTTTTAGTCTGTCATGTCCTTACCTCCCAGGTATTGGCTATTTGAAACAATTGATTAAAACATTCCCGAGGAACTTTTTCATCCTTTCCATAGGGCTGTATGGGAAAGTCAAGAAATGCATGTGAAAAGAGAACTGAAGTAGTGTTTACTTTTTAGGTGAGTGGGGGAGAGATGCAGAAGTGGCTTCCAGAACTCATGCCACTCCTGCTGGAGATGCTAGCAGATGGCACTTCTGGCTGGAAGAGACGCGTTGCTCTCTGGACCCTGGGGCAGCTAGTCGAGAACACAGGTTATGTAGTCCACCCATACACTCAGCATCCCACTTTACTGGATGTCCTGCTATCATTCTTGAAGACTGAGCAGCAACCTGCAGTAAGGTGAGTTAGAAGGTTAGAAGGTTAGTTACATTGTGACACTTTATCATGATATAGAAATGTGAGGATTTGGAAATGAGACCTCTAATTTACATGTACTTCTTTCCTTCTGCTGCCGACCTAAACATTATGATATGACCAAGAATTTTATGAACTGATCGATAGGGTTGCTAAGGTATGTCTAATTATTTCAGACGAGAAACAATCCGTGTCTTAGGCTTGCTTGGTGCTCTAGACCCTTACAAACACAAGATGAATGTTGGTATGATTAAGATCCAGGAGGACACAGGGGTTGCTGTCATCTCCACAAGCGAGAATAAAACAGATGAGCTGTCTGGAGGTACTTTGTGTGTATTATTGATAGCACAATATTTGAGATGTAGCTTAGAGTAGAATTTGATACTTTGGAAATTATTCATTTGAAGTTACAGATGCTGAAACAAACACACACACACACACAAACACACACACACACACACACACACACACACACACACACACACACACACACACACACACACACACACACACACACACACACACACACACACACACACACACACACAAAAAAAAATTCCAACTGATGAAAAATTCCAACTGGAATTCATACTAACAGCCAAATTCTTCCCTCAGAAATGGGAACAAGTGAGATGTTAGTCAACCTCAACTATTCATCTCTAGAGGAGTTTTACCCTACATGTGCTATTGCCATGCTTATGAAGGTGATCAAAGACCCTACCTTGGGTCAGCACCACAATGAAGTGGTCAGGGTGAGTACATATAGCATATAGTTCTAATGAAAGGAAAACTGCCACAGTAAGAAACGAAATTGAAATGTAATGTTTTGAACTCTTCATGAGTTCCTCTTCAGACAACTGAAAAACCAAAAATCCTCCATTTTTGGTTTTTCAGTTGTCTGAAGAGGAACTCATGAAGAGTTTGAAACGTTACATTTCAGTTTCGTTTCTTACTTTGGCAGTTTTCCATTCATTTTTGTGTTCACGTTACTGTGTTTGTGCTTGTGTCAGATATAGTTCTAAAATATGATAACTCAAATAATGGCTTCATACAGGAAATTAGTTCTTTTATCCCCTTTGGTAGGTCAGATGAATGTTGTTTATTATGTGTGAAGAGTATTATTTTTAATGTATTTGCACAATACAAACAATACACTTGCAAATTAACACAAACAGATCAAATTAATTTCCACAGCTTTGCCAGTGTGTGCATTATTTTTAAGAAACTTTTTATCAACATTTTTTTTTTTTCCCATGGCTTGGCCTACTTCATAACGTTCTTATTCTGAAAGTAGCAGTTTCTTTCAGCAGGTGCTTAGTATGAACTCTCTGCATATCTTTTCAGGCTGTGACCTTCATCTTCAAATCCCTAGGGGTGAAAGGAGTGCCTTACTTGGCTCAGGTTATCCCCTCGCTTCTCTATGTCATCAGGACTGCAGACGCAAATTTCCGAGATTATTTGTTCCAGCAGTTGGCGACTCTGATTGGCATTGTAAAACAGCATATTAGAAACTATTTAGATGATATTATTGAAGTTTTAAAAGTAAGAAATCTCGTTTTATTTCCTGGTTTGTAGAAGATGTGGTTAGATTCATGATGTATAAAGTTTTTAATAGTTCAGTGTAACTGAATGAAAATTTTCCTTTGATGAGGTCCAGTATCAGATCTTAAATGTAATCGCTTTTTTTAACAATCGTATTCCCATTCTTTTCACAGGAATTCTGGGTGACTGGTGGAAAGCTAGAGACAACAATAACAATTATTACAGTTGTTGAAAGCATTGCATTAGCAGTTGGCTCAGAGTTCAAGATCTATCTCAAAGAACTCGTTCCCATGATCCTAAAGTCTTGTATCAATGACTCTAAGGAGAAGCAAGTGACTGGCAAGGTATGAATGGCTGTTTATATCAGTACTGATTTACTTAATTTCCTTTTGATTTAGTATGATCTTGTGTGATTTGTCTCATTTGATTGAGCAATATTTTTACACTTTCATTCGGAGAACAAGCGCTTTCATATGAAAGAGGTTAACGTGTGGGTAAAGTCTCAGCATCCGAGACCTCACAGTTCATGGGGAAGCTTAAATCTCCATTCTTACCATTGCAGCTCCTGTTAGCCTTCCAGAAGTTTGGAGCCACACTAGAGGAATTCCTGCACATGATACTTCCCCACATTGTGAAGCTGTTCGATGCCAGCGATGTTCCTCTGTCTGTTCGTCGCACAGCCCTTGAGACAGTTGATCACTTTGCAGATTACCTTGACCTCTCTGATTATACCTCGAAGATCATTCATCCATTGGTATGTCCAGCAGATGGTTGTCCAAACAAGGATTGCTTTATCTTCACTTTTTTGCCATTTAATCTCACTTTACAATGCATTTTAGAAAGGGTCAATATTGTTACTTTGTATATTTTTTTTTCATTATATAAAAATATATTTCATTATGGTGCTGGATTGTTTCTATAATGGCTGTTTATAGCAGCATTGCAACTTTTGTATGGTTATTTTTATTGCATAATTGTGGGTCAGGGACTAAGCCCTGTTTATCAGTGAATTTCATTTCCCAAACAGCTTAGAACTCTAGACACTTGTCCAGAGCTCCGAGATCAAGCCATGGAAGTGCTGTGTGCCCTGGCGACTCAGTTGGGCAGGTCATATGAGTGCTTCATCCCCATCGTTTACCGCATAACCACCAAACACAAGATCCACCATCCCAGATATGACATCCTGGTGGCGAAGGTGGTAAGGGTAAGTTCACCAAAGAAGTTATCTTGCTACTGAAGTTATATGAACTTCTGGGTGATTTGACGTATTATTTGGAATATATTTGTGTCACTGGAAGATTTTAGTTTTTTCTTTTAAAACCGAAATTGCAGTCATGATAAGAGGAAAAGCCTTATATAAGCAAGAAAATTGTATGATTATTTTCATTACAGGGTCTAACAGTCTCTGATGACGAGATGACAATCATAACAGCTCACCAACGTGCCAGACGGCCTAGGTCAAGAGATCATCAGTTAGAAGCGGATTCTACAACCATCAAAAAAGTGAGGAACCAACTAAGGTCATATATTGCTATGAGTAAAAATGAACATTTTCTTAACCCATTGGTGATGGGTGAAAAAAACAAAAAAAAAAGTCTATGCTCTGGTGATGCTCTCTATGATCAGTGAATACCATTTCCTTGATGTAGTTTCCTATAAAGTGTGAAAATGCATGGAAAATTAATACTAATATCTATTTTCTTCATTTTCCCCCCCATTATCCAGCATACAGTAGGGGTGCAGTCACTCCAGAAAGCATGGTTGTTCACCCGGCTTGTGAGCAAGGACGACTGGCTGGAATGGCTTCGGAGATTCAGCATTGAGTTGATGAAGGCTTCTCCGTCTCCGGCCCTAAGGTTAAGCTTTGTTCAGTCTAATTAATGTCATTTCCTTTTTTATCTTCTTAGTAAAAAGTCATGTTCAAATATTTTTAGATAGATCTAGCCATTCTGAAGTATTACTGATGTGATGGGTTCATATGAAAGAATTTTGCAGGACACATGTTGATGTGGAATCAGAGCTAGGCTCAGATAAAGTTGCTTTTTAATTTTTATTTTTTAATTTTATTTATTTATTTTATTTTATTTTTTATTTTATTATTATTTTTTATATATATGATAAAAAAAAACAATGTATGATTATGAACATGAAGAATCTGTAAGACAGACTCTGAAGTAATCTTAGAATGAGATTGTTTGTGTCAGTTGGGTGCTGAGAAAAGGAAGTGATATAATTTAACACCTTTGATTTACAGATCCTGTTACTCAGTTGCCACAACATACGTGCAGCTCTCCCGCGATCTCTTCAATGCCGCTTTTGTCTCTTGCTGGAGTGAATTGAATGAGTCTCTCCAGGATGACCTCCTTCAGTCCCTGCGTCAAGCTCTGACCTCCCAAGACATACCTGAAATCACACAAACCCTCCTCAATCTTGCAGAGTTCATGGAACATTGTGACAAGGTAAGGGTTGGAGTGCAAGGAGAGAGGAATCAGCTGTGAATGTTTCATGTAGAGCCGATTAAGGAAACTTTTCTCCTCTTGCTGAGTTGAAAAGGAATATTAAAGTAATCTGACTGTGAAATGAAGGAAGGAATAGATATTTTAAGTCAGACTGGACTCTTCATCTGGAAATAAACCAGATGGTTTCACTGTCAGATGAAGAATCTGGCATACATCATTCTCCAAAATTGATAGTTAGACTTTTTTCCTCTCAATTTTATGTGGCTTGAATAAGCCTGATGTACTGTTATATGTACATGGTTCATGAGGGACATAGTCAGTTTGCTTTTTTTAAAAATTGAGATATCAATTATAATGAAACCAACAAGTCAATATTTGTCCAAACTTCAGGGTCCATTGCCACTAGAACTTCAGCTCCTAGGAGAGAAGGCCATGGAGTGCCGTGCTTATGCAAAGGCACTTCACTACAAAGAAGAGGAATTCCACAAGGGCCCAACATCAGAGGTCCTGGAACACCTGATTTCCATCAACAATAAACTGGGACAGAAGGAGGCTGCAGCAGGTTGGAGGGCCTTGTCTTTATATTAATCAGTTGTCATTGTTTGATAAGTATTCATAATTATTGCAGAGGTGAAGATATGGTAAAGTAAGACACAAGTAAAATGGTGAAGGAAAGAGCTGGAAGTGTATACTTTATTTGTAAAGTAGAATGGATTTGTACATTCAAATATTTATTTATTTTTTTATGGTATTCCAATTTTTCTCTATCCATCCTCTCTTTCGCCCAAGGTCTCTTGGAGTACGCTCGTAAGAACAATCGCACAGACATGAAAGTGCAAGAAAGGTGGCATGAAAAATTGCACGACTGGGACCAGGCTCTGCAGGCTTATCAGACAAAGCTAGAGACACGGCCCGATGACCTGGAACTCACCCTCGGTCAGATGAGGTGTCTGGAGGCCCTTGGGGAATGGTAAGAAGAGAGATGATAAGTTGGGCCTCGTGATAGTTAGAAGGACAAACAATTTATTTGTATAATGATGGAAGTGATTAGGCTCGTTTAAAAAAAAAAAAAAAAAAAAAAAAATTGAAAGTCTAAAGAATTTGGTAATGTCTATGTAATCTGGTAGTCTTTTTTTCAAACTGATTATCTTCTGTGATGAAAAAATCAGCGCCTGATCATGAAAGAATGAGGATATCATAAGGCAGACTCTGATGAAGACAGGACCCTAACTTTTTCTTTCTTTTATTTAATAGTTTTTGAATTAAAACAAATTTCTGTTTTTGCAAGGGGTGAGCTGTACAGTGTGTCCTGTGAGTGGTGGAGCAGTTCCATGAATGACGAGTGCCGTGCACAGATGGCCAGGGTGGCAGCAGCATCAGCCTGGGCCATGGGGCAGTGGACGTCCATGGAGGAATACACCAAGTTTATTCCTCGAGACACGCAGGAGGGAGCCTTCTACCGGGCTGTCCTCTCGGTGCATAAAGATCAGTACCAGGTTGCTCAGCAGGTTAGTGAAAGGATGTTTAGAAAGCCTGAGGTATTCTATAGACAATAAGGTGCAAAAGTATCCCATTTACATCTGAAATTTTGTGTATTGACTGTGTAATGGAAAAACACAAAAGATTGCTATTCATAGTGGATATTTACAATTTACAGTTAATTGATTCTGCAAGAGATCTTCTTGACACTGAGCTGACAGCCATGGTCGGTGAGAGTTATCAGCGAGCATACAATGCTATGGTGGCTGTGCAGATGTTGGCAGAACTGGAAGAAGTCATTCAGTATAAACTGGTCCCAGAGAGAAGGCAACCCATTACACAAATCTGGTGGGAAAGACTGCAGGTTAGTTTATTTATTTGTTTATATCTTTGAAGCATTTATTTATTGATTAGTTCTTAATTAAAATGATAGATGCTTTTCAGTCTTAATAAACAGGAGTGAGATTTACCTCCATTCTTTTACTAATCTTTCAGGGATGCCAACGGGTGGTAGAGGACTGGCAGAAGATCCTACAGGTCCGTTCGCTTGTCCTCAGTCCACAGGAAGACATGAGACCTTGGCTGAAGTTTGCCTCACTCTGCCGCAAGTCTGGGCGGCTCACTCTCTCCCACAAGACCTTAGTGAGGCTCCTGGGCTGCGATCCGTCCACAAACACCCAACAAGTTCTCCCAGCAACTCACCCTCGTGTGACGTACCAGTACTGCAAGCACATCTACACTTATCCCAACAGACGTCATGAAGCCTATGGGTAAGTGTACTGGGGGTTGGAGACATTCTTCAGCATGCAAGGGGTACCCATATAGTACTTTTGTTTTTCATTGTTAGGTTTGGTTAAGAAAGAATTAACATTCAATTGATTGGTAATTAAGATTTTTAATGAGTGAAATACACTTTAGAATATTTTTAAAACATTGATATAGTACAGAAATCACCAAAAAGCTTAATGTTATCTAGAGAGAAGGTAGTCCATCACACAGATCTGTAGATGAGAAATACCTGTATGGCATTAGTGTGGTCAAAGGGAAATTCTTGTTTTCCAATGACATCAGTCTGGCAGATGCTGGATTGGTCTTGGGTGTCCTGGGAAACCTCCCACTTTCAGCAGGAACACTGGCCTGGAGGGTTTTTTGGTCCAGAGACAATTATATCTGCCTTAAATTCTGTGTCCTCCCTTAGATTCTTTGGCCACCAATGCCCTCTGGATTTATTATGAACACTGATGTCCTTTCTAGGGCACTCATTGGGTTTTAACCAATGGAACATACTGTTACATTATTTTAATCCCATATTACACTACACAGCAAGAATCAAGCACATTGTAAGCTATGCTTCATCCATCATGGGTTCAAAAGCAAAATGGGGATTAATATTTTATTCTTGACTTTAATTTGAGTTTCATATAATTACTTGTGTACATGTATACTTTAAATTTATCTAATCGAATGCATATTAGCCTTTTTAAAAATTAATGAGCATTGTATTGATCTTATATATTCTCATACACAGGCACCTTCAGAGTTTTCTTCAGTACATTGCCCCGGCGGTGGTTGTTGGTGGTTGTCACAACAATGACAACAAATTGCGTGAGCTGGTATCCCGTGTCTACCTCAAGTTAGGAGAATGGTAAGTGGTATATGTTAAGTTGTTGTTGTGGAACTGGTAAGGATGGGAATTAACCCAATGGCGCCGGGTGTACAAAAGAAAAAAAAAACTCTACGCTTAAACAAACAAAGGCGGCGCGCCGACTTTGAGCGTGTGAGTAGGGGACATCAGCCCGAATCACTGGCTCGCCGCGCTTTGGCGCGCCGCCGGCTCATTCGGCTGCACGCCAGCTTTCGAACTCTTTGTGTACACGCCGATCGGCGTCACCCGGCACCAAGGGGTTAAGTTGCATATATGATTTGTGTTTGCATTGATTGTGATTTGAAGGTTTCTTGGTTCATGATTATGACATGAATTGACTATAAAAAAGGAGGAAAGTAAAAGTAGTATTCAAAAAAGAAATTGCATTATACCTTACGACATGCACAGTTACAAATATTTATCCTTATTTAACAGGTATGAGCAACTGCATGGCCTTAATGAAGACAACATAAACACAATCCTGACGTATTATACGCATGCAAAAGACACAGACAAGTCATGTTATAAGGCTTGGCACGCTTATGCGTACATGAACTTTGAGGCAATACTTTTCTACAAGAACAAGGCAGATTCTGGGAAAGCAGAGAATGGGGATGATACCAGCACACCAAGCAAAAAGAAGGCAAGTTTATTATGTAGAAGTTTTAAATGAAGTTTCGAATGGGGAAGTTATAAGGTAGTTTCAAGTTAAGTTGCATAATGCAAGAGATCAGATTGGAATTATCAGAGAAATCTCAGTAGATATAGCAGGGAAATTACATTACATGCACAGCGGAACTCTGTGAACAAACCATTTCCCTTCCACAGCAGAAATCTGCAGGGGATTTCACCATAGCGGCCGTCAAGGGTTTCATCCGATCAATCTCTCTGAGTGATGGCAACAGCCTTCAGGACACGCTGCGTCTCCTTACAGTCTGGTTTGAACATGGCCACCAATCTGGAGTCTATGAAGCCTTGGTGGATGGACTTAAGACGATCCAGATTGATACTTGGTTGCAGGTTAGTTTTTGGTTTAATAAGTTGAGGTGAATGTGTACAATTTTATGTTGTGTGTTCTTTGTTGTATTATATCTACATATGATTTCATGTTTAAATTTTTCCCATAGCATTTGCTCATATGGAAGATCTTTTTAATCTAGTGGGAAACTATAGTCTTCATTATAGTATTTTTTTGTGAAATGTCTCAATACGTATATGGCTCTCCAAGTACTTAGCCAAGGAGTCAGTTAGTAGACCTCGTGGCCTCAAATGATATCATCTTTCCTTGAGTTTTCATAAAAATGTTTTTGTTACAGATGCTATCAATATCCATGCTGTTATTATTAACCCAATGACGCCGGGTGTACAAAAGGAAAATAAAACTCTACGCTCTGGCAAACAAAGGCAGCGCGCCGACTTTGAGCGCAGGAGTACGGGGCGTCAGCCCGAATCACTGGCTCGCCGCGCTTTGGCGCGCCGCCGGCTGGTTTGGCCGCACGCCACCTTTCGAGCGATTTGTTTACACGCGTATCGCCGTCACCCGGCGGCAAGGGGTTAATATAGACTTTATAATTATCAAAATGTTATTGACATTACTATTAGCAATTTGATATAAAAAGAAAATATTTACAAAAACCAGGGAGAAGGGTAGACGGGTGAGACATGTAATACTAGTAAGTGGCTCATTAGTGACTTGTGTAGCCAACTATGTGTAAAAACAATTAACCATGTGCTGCCAGGAAAAATGCTGTGATCTTTCTTTCTTTCTTCTGCACAAAGATGGCTCTGCTAGTGCTTAGCCACAAAGGAGTCAGTTGACCTTGTGACCTTACCTAATTTCACCTTTCCTTGAATTGGCAGGAAAAACATATTTTTTACTAATGCTATGAATATTGATGGTGTTATTTTTATTATAGACATTATAATTACTGTAATGTTCTAAACAATAGTAACAGCAAAATAAGATAACATAAAATATTTTCGTAAATCAAGGAAAAGGGTAAATGGGTGAGACAGGCAGTACTCATAATTAGATCATTGGTGACTTAGTACAAGTGTAGCCATCTGTGTGTAAAAACAATAAAGTAAACTCACAATGGGCATGTCATGACCATTGGAATTGGGTTAACCCCTTGGTGCCGGGTATGACGTGTACATACGTGCTATGCCCACAGTGAGTACTTGTTTGATTGTTTTTACGCATAGATGGCAACACTTGTACTAACTCCCCAATGAGCCAGTTACGAGCACCGCCCGTCTCGACCGTTTACCCGTTTCTTTGATTTACAAAATATTTTACGTAATCTTATTTTGCTGTTACTAATGTTAAAAAAATATATAAAAATTATAATGTTTATGATATAAATAACACCATCGTTTTCCATAGCACTAGTGAAAAATACGTTTTTCCCGCCATTTAAATCAGGCGCTAGCAGAGTCATCTATCGGCAGACATTTTACGAAAAACATAGTGGGCACAATATTTTCCCCATTTTTTGTTCATTTTCCCCGGCACCATTGGGTTAATAAACAAAACTCATAGTGGGCAAGGCATGTATATATGTATGCATGTACTGTCGCTAAAAAAAAGTATCTTTACTTGGGAGTAGATGAAACCGAAATGATCACTAGGAGTTGATTTGGAAAGGCTGGTAGGCCTACTTGTGGGAGAGTTGACTGACATAGGGCAAGCCAGATTTACGGGGTCTGCCTATTTGGAAATCCTGGATGAGGTGCTTCTACCATCGGTGAGGGCCATGATGTTCCCAGATCAGGAACCATTTTACCTCATCCAGGATAATAGCCCCATAAACATGAGCAGTGTCGTGAGGGAGTGGTTTCAAAAAAGAAACAAGATTACGTTACTGCCACATCCATCCAAATCACCAGCAATTGTGTCATGGGAGCGATTGAGCTCTACAGTTGGATGCCAGTTAACGGCAGAATTAGTGGCATCTATTCCACGTGGACTTGCCACCGTTCACCAAGTTGATGGCTGTAATGCAACATATGAAAAGTATTAGACATTGCAAAACTCTTATATTTCCTTCCTCGATTTCCTTGATTTGTTAGACAATTTCCTCATTACTGAAATAGGATGTAGGTTACTAGGATGATCATACATGATATCATGTAAACAGGGATACCAACATCAGGACAAGCTTACAGCACTTTTTCCCACCATTTCTGTCGTGTCATATTGTTTAGTCAGAAAGAGTAAAGATGCTTTTTTTTACCAAGTGTACATGCCATCCAAGGTGGCATTGGATTAACTCAGTAATTCCAGTAAAATGCAGTGCTCATTAAATTTTTGTTTTGTGAAATGTCTCTGCACATAGATGGCTCTGCAAGTGCACAGTAACAAAGGAGTCAGTTAGTAGACCTTGTAACCTTATCTGATTTCATCCTTTCTTGAATTTGCAGAAAAAATGTCTATTTTACTATTGCTATGAATATTGATGGTGTTATTTTTATTATAGACATTATGATTACTCTAATGTTATTGACATTAGTAACAGCAATATGAGATAATTTAAAATATTTCGGAAAATTAAGGAAAAGAGAAAACAATTAATAAAGTAAACTCGCAGTGGGCACGGCATGTACGTACATGCCATGCCCGTTAACTTTGGTTTAAAAATATTGTAGTTTTAGAACATTGCCTTTGATTAAATTTTTTTTTTTTCTCATTGATTAGGTAATCCCTCAGCTGATTGCTCGCATCGACACCCCTCGAACACTAGTAGGAAAGCTGATTCACCAGCTTCTCATGGATATTGGCAAACATCATCCACAGGTAAATAATAGGGTTACATCCCTTCGACTATGAAGTTTCTATGGACTTCATATTGGTACTGCACAGAGTTGAATATAAATGTTATATGCTGGGATGTACTTTCTAGATTGATCTGTTATTTTAGATTTTTTGTTGTGATTTAGATGTTTATTGCCTCTATTTTATACCTTGTGATACTCTCTTCAGGCTCTTATCTACCCCTTGACTGTGGCGGCAAAGTCCTCTGTTGTGGCGCGTTCACAGGCAGCAGAGAAGATTCTTAAGAACATGCGTGAGCATTCTGCAAATCTAGTCCAACAGGCCATGATGGTAAGTTGTTATTCTAGCTCAAGGGAGGTGCATGCATTAGAGATCCTAAACTGCATTTTTGGCCTTTTTCGAGTAGTATATTTCCCTCAAAGAGATAATTTGATAACCTAATGATCTTCACTTGTAATTTGCAAGTAATAGGAACACATAAGCCAGTTACCATATCATAACTTCTCATATTTCTAATCTTACAGGTATCAGAAGAGCTGATCAGAGTGGCAATCCTGTGGCATGAGATATGGCATGAGGGTCTTGAAGAGGCTAGTCGACTGTACTTCGGAGAGCGCAATGAGTCTGGGATGTTCCGTACACTGGAGCCTTTGCATGCCATGATGGAACGTGGTCCACAAACACTCAAGGAAATGTCCTTTAGCCAGGTTAGTATTGGAACATGATTCTTATGTGAAAGATTTTACTCACAAGTTTCAGAAGGTAAGTCTAACAGTTTTGAAGAGGTGGTTTTGCTTCAATTTAATTTTTTTATTGTAATTCTGTTTATATATATATATATATATATATATATGTATATATATGTATATATATATATATATATATATATATATATGTATATATATATATATATATATATATATATATATATATATATATATATATATATATATATATATATATATATATATATATGTATATATATATGTATGTTTTTTTTAAGTAATTAATTTATTTTATTTTCTTTTTTCTTTTTTTTGCTTAACAGAAGATAGATGAAAAATCATTAAAGTTTCATGATTTTTATTCATATTTTAATACTGTAAAGAATTGTAAAAAAAGAGAGGAAAAAAAGAGAAAGACCAAGTTCTGGTTATTGTAATTCTAATTTCTTGGTAGTGTCAAAATGCCAGATATGAAAGGGAAGTAATGTACACCTTGGAGTATTGTCTGTTTTCAGTCTTGTTTTTTTAATGGTACACTTATTCTTTTCAGGCCTATGGTCCTGACTTGCGAGATGCACAGGAGTGGTGCCGTCGTTACCAGCGGACAGGAAATGTACGTGAATTAAACCAGGCCTGGGACTTATACTATCATGTGTTCCGCCGTATCTCTCGTCAGTTACCCCAGCTAACATCTCTGGAGCTCCAGTCAGTCTCTCCAAGACTCCTCAAGTGCCGGGACCTGGATATTGCTGTGCCAGGATCCTATGCTCCAAACTCCCCTGTCATCTGTATCAGTCAAGTCCAATCGTCCCTGCACGTCCTCACTTCAAAACAGAGACCACGGAAACTCTGCATCCGAGGCAGCAACGGTAGGGACATTGTCTTCTTGCTGAAGGGCCATGAGGATCTGAGGCAGGATGAGAGGGTTATGCAGTTATTCGGTCTCGTCAATACGCTCCTGATCAGCAACCCCGACACCTTCCGCCGCAATCTTACCATCCAGAGATTCGCTGTCATTCCATTATCTACCAACTCAGGTCTCATTGGCTGGGTACCCCACTGTGATACGCTTCATGCCCTCATTCGAGACTGGCGGGAAAAGAAGAAGATCCTCTTGAACATTGAGCACAGGATCATGATGCGAATGGCCCAGGATCTGGAACACCTCACACTCATGCAGAAAGTGGAGGTCTTCGAACATGCACTCGAGCACACGCAAGGAGATGACCTCGCACGCCTCTTGTGGTTTAAGAGCCCCTCCTCAGAAGTGTGGTTTGACCGTCGTACAAACTACACACGTTCACTGGCAGTGATGTCTATGGTTGGCTATGTCCTGGGTCTAGGTGACCGTCATCCATCCAACCTCATGTTGGACCAGCTGTCTGGAAAAATTATTCATATTGACTTTGGTGACTGCTTTGAAGTTGCCATGACCCGTGAGAAATTCCCGGAAAAGATCCCTTTCCGCTTAACTCGTATGCTTATAAATGCCATGGAGGTGACTGGAATAGATGGTACTTACCGCATGACTTGCGAGTCTGTCATGAGCCTCATTAGACGAAACAAAGATTCTCTCATGGCTATGCTTGAAGCCTTTGTATATGATCCTCTGCTGAATTGGCGTCTGATGGATCATGCTCAGCCAAAGAGTAAACGCTCAGTGGTTGGGGAAACTGTCAGTGGGGGTGGTGTAGCAGCAACAGACACAGGACACACGCCAATAATGGAAGCAGCCTCTACATCATCAGGGGCTCCAGCAGGTTCACAGACCAAGAAAATCGAGGTCAGAGAAGACTCTGGGGCATCAGAAGCACTCAACAAGAAAGCAGTAGCAATTGTCAATCGCGTTCGTGACAAACTGACTGGCAGAGACTTCAACAATGATGAACCGCTTGATGTACATAAACAGGTGGAGCTACTTATTGCTCAGGCCACATCCCATGAAAACCTGTGCCAATGCTATATTGGATGGTGTCCATTCTGGTAGAAGTTCACATGTCTTATGTTTTGTAAGGGAAGTTCTGTTGGACTATATATATCCATTGTAATTTGATAAGGTCAAAATACACTTGTTCATAACAAAGATGGTGTAAAACACTTCATTGACTAAGTTTTTCATAAACCAATTTTATATATTTTTAGTTTTAAATGTTACATCAGGCTAAGGGACTGCCTTTGATCATTGTTTAAATTTTTTCACATTATGAAAAATTCATATAAATCCAAAGGATGCTAAAACTCATTTGCTATATGAATACGTGGCAGTAGAAGGACCCAGTTTTAATTTATAAAATTAAGACAACTAGAAGAGAAGATATTTGTTTTCTCTGTCTTTGTTTGTGATTACAAATGCTATGAAGTTTACAAATAGTAATACTTTTTCAGTGCAATTTAGCATTCATCAAATTGCTTTACTCTTAGATTACTGTTCTTAGTTAGAGGTTTATAGAGTAGTATATGCTGTCTCATTTGTGAATATTAGTTATTTCTTCAGTGCAAAACATTCGTGATAAAAAGAATTTTAAGGGTGGAACAAAAACTAACGGAAACCAAACATATTAAGCATTTGTCAATCGGAATAACAGGGAATCATGGCTGGCTGTTAAGCCAATACTATTTTAATATTTTTTTATCATTATTTTACCATTTATTCATATGTTAAACTCGGCTGCAAAAGAACTTTTGTAAATAATTATCAATTACACACTGATCCTGTTTTGCTCTTGCGACCCTCCTGTTTGGGTCGGAGGTGCCCATGTGGGACTTATTCGCCTAACTGGAAACCATCCTAACTAAAACCATGGTCAAGCCAGGGGATTCGAACACATACCCTCTGCACTGGGATTAAGAACACCGTCCCACTGAAGCGTTGTAGCAGCATTGATTAAATACACAACAAAAGGTAAAAGCAAGAGAGATGCTGCTAGAAATAACAGCTAAAAGTGGAAATACTATGAAAATAAAACAGATACATGATTCTACCTGAAGTTTGATTTTCCTCATGATAGAATTGATTTAAATGTGGACTTTCAATACTAAGAGCAATCTCTCATTTTTTTTATCAAACTTTATTTGATTATTCCAATTACTAATGAAAAAATACCTATTGCATCTCACACATTTTGCTTTTTCAATTTCAATAAGGTCTAATGCTTCCAGACCAAAAGCTTTCTAATGGTACAGATTTTGTTTGTGTTGCACAACAATGCTCGGGCTGTTAATTACTATTGTCAATTGCATACCTTCGTTAAAAAAAACGTGTACCTGTATGCAGTAGGCTATGAAGTTTACTAGAGGACATTACAATAAGTCGGATACAGTTCTCATTTTTTCCTTTTTTTTGTTGAATTCGTTTCTGCATCACCGTATTTTCTAATTTGATGCTGTTCGGCAGTCAACAAGGTTATAGCCATGCACTTAAACATCTACAACCAAAAACTTCACTAGTTATGAGAGGAAACAATGAAAACCATAAACTAACCAATGCAAAATATTTATTCATACATCAAATATTCTGTGAGATCTCCCACGCTGTAAATAGGGAGCAGAAACAAATATTAATTTCCGTTATTAGGCACTGAGGTAGTTCCGACTGGGTTCAGCTTCATGATTGACACAGGTCATTCTATCAGACAAAGTATTTACCAAAGAAAAGAAAAAAAATGCTTGTTCTATGGAAAACAACAGAACTGATAAAAATAAAAATAAAAAATACTCATTCTATAGAAAAGAGCGATAGTGAAGAAAAAAAAAAAGATCAATAACCCATGTCCTATAGAAAGCCCAAGAAAGTATGCGACATCAAAACCCAACATTGATATAAGACATATCCATACCTCAACAAAGAAAATAACAAAAAAAGACAGGAAAAAGAGAGAGAGAAAAAAAATACAATAGAAACCTATTCTCTCCTACGCGGTACCACAAGCAACTTCAGTAGCTTTCGCATAGTCATCTGCCTCCTTCTGAATGTCCTTCATGGTCTCGAGGTTGGAGAATATGCTCACTATCAGCTGAGTAAAGAGACGTTCACTGTAGTAGGATTGCGCGGGCCACAGTCCCTCCATGAATCCAATATGGCCGCCTCTTACCGTCACTACGAGCGCCACGTGGCTCGATCTGCTGGCCGCTCCGAAAGGATTAGCTGGAGAAGGACAAAGTTATTATTCCCAAATTGTTATTATTTATTTATTTATTTATTTATTTATTGGGGAGGGGGGGGTCTTATTGGTGTAATTAATCTTGTTTTTTTATTAGAATTAAGACTGGAACGATTTTTATTGTGCATTGCAGGAACCCGAAGTCATTCAGAAACAGGGATAATATCAGATGATGAACGGGAATATAAATAGCGAAGAAGAGGAAAGTGAATAAATCATGGTAGCAGAAGCAGAAGAAAGATGGAAGATGAAAAAGGGAGAGGAAAATGAAGAAGAAAAAGAGAAGAAAAGGAAGTATATAACTATGGAAAATAGAATAATAGTAGAACAGAAAATGAAGAATAAAATAAAGAAAACCAACAAAAAAACGAAGATGAAGAAAAGACAAATAAGTAAAAAAAAAAAATATATATATTCTCTTCAAAGAATCATAACTAGACCTTACCATTCAGCGGCTGGAAAAGGTCATCGCCGCTGTTGAGGCAGATGAAAGGCACCTTGATGTGGTCCAGCTTGTGGTAAAGAGTGGACGCCTTGTAGTAGTGTTCGGCGTCGTCGAACCCGAACTGCTTCGCCGTGAACCGCGTGTCGAACTGGCGAACCGTTTTACTCTGTGGAGAAAAAAAAGGTCGGCGCTGAGGGACAAATATGGGAACGTGCGTGTGGAGTCCTGTTTGCTGAGTTATATTGATTGTTGTTGTCTGAGTCTGTGTGTGTCCCGTCCGTTCTGTCTGATTATTTGGTACGTTGAATTACATGTTTTTCATCTGCTATTTATGACTGCACTTGAGCCCCTTGTTTCTGTCTGCTTTACTTGTATGTTTGTTTGTCTGTCTCATTCTGGTTTATTTGTCCATTTATTTGTCTGTCTCATTCTGGTTTATTTGTCCATTTATTTGTCTGTCTCTTCTGTTCAGAATACGTGCGTATCTAACATACATACATTTCGTTTTCTGTCGCACCCACACCGACAGGACCTACACCCCCACCTCCACCAACACATACCTAATGATTGTTCATAAGGTAAAGAAAATGAAGAAACTGAAAATAAAATGGAAAAAAAAAGAAGAAGAAAAGGAAAACTTCTAACCTTCAACACCTCCTCGAAGTCCCACGGATGGTCTCCCTCCAGCTGGTACCGATGGATCTTAACCAGTCCCTTGAGGCAGTAGGCCAGGTATCGGTTGAACAGGTGGCTGAGTCCCGGCCGCTCGATGTGCCTGATGCCCTCCACCAGGTTCCATGGCACTGACTGCACCGCCGCCGCCACCAGCCTCTTCGTCGCCGCCTCCTTCCGCGTCGTCAGGTAGTGCCCGATGATGAGGCTGTTGTAGGGGGAGGGGCAGACAATGACACAATGATACAAAGTGATATAAATGATAACGATAGTGTTCATGGTAACCGAGCAGGACAGGCAGCACGACCTCACCCGCCCAGAGAAATGCCGACAGCGATGACAGGGGCCCCGGGTCGAGTGTTGGCCACGTGGTCTAAGGCCTCCTCTAGGTCATCACTATTGGCAGCGCAGTACGTCCTGGTGGTCTGTCGTAGATCGAGAGGACATGAATTCAGACGAAGTGAATTGTCACATCTTTTTTGTGTGAGAACTAACGAGAAATAGAAGTGATAAATTCAGATATATATATATCTTTTTCTTTTGGTGTGAAACACAGATAAGCAACCTATTTCCACACACACACACACACACACACACACACAAAAAAATCCTACGAACTAAATGCAACGAAAATATGAGCACAATCAGAAAAAAACATTAACGTGCACGTGCATATAAAGACTACATGAAGCACAACCTCTAATTTAAAGGAGAGTTAATCCAAAATATTTATCTGATGATGAGTTTAATCTTACTCGAAACGTCACATTCCATTGTTTCCTTTAATAAGTTGTCTGAGCTTCACTACAGATAAAACCATCAATAAACTGGTAAATGTCTTGACCTCCATTTCGAAGCAGGTCCGAAACACTCCTCACCTTGAGCTCCATCCCTCCTGTGCCCCTGCTATTGAGGACGGCGCAGGAAATGCCCATCTTGTGCAGCGACATAACCATCCCAATCACGTACACGCTGTCAGAGGCTCCCGTGAGACCAGGCAAAACGACAGCGACTGGATTGTCCTTCCGATCATTCGCCTCGAGCCAGTCCAGGGCCACTTCCCCGCCGTCCTTTAACCGGAGGACCTCCCTGAGAGTTAGAGGAAAATATTTTTGCATTGTGTGGACTCTTATCAAAATGGAAAAGATAGATGATGGTATGTGGGAATGATGTTTGATGGTCAGGCAGAATCCAACTCACTCTAAATAATTGAAGGTTCCTTGTAAAATGGAAATAAAAGTCGTACAAAACTTGAAAACGATATTATTTGTTAATCAATAGCACAAACGAAAAACTCAAATAAATGCAATGCACAATGAATTCTAAAATGTTAACTCAATGTTAACCCTTGTAAATGCGAGGTCCTAAAGTATAGGCATATTTACCCGATACAAAAAAACAAAAAACAAAAAAAAAACTCGGTCCCTACATCCTACCTTTTGTAATCTCTGTTAGGAAGAAATGCTCGCGAAACCGAAGCGAAGAAAGTCTGTAGGTGGGTCTCTATGCACCACACCGTCGGCCAGTACTTCTCCTGAAGGACGGTAAGATTTTCCTCCAGGAACATTCTCCAAGCACTGTTCCTGCAGGCAAACAGGGGGCGCTGGAAAGGAGAGGGAGATGAGCTGTGGCACATTTTGATTTCTTTTTGTGGTTAAAATTATCTGTCAGTTTACAATAAATTATAGGTAGATAGTCACAGATATTTAGATATGCACTCACACATATACACACACCCGCACACACATAGCACAGTGACTACCTATCTACTTGAAGTAAATATCTAAATATATCTATCAATATAAAATTTATCCCTCTCTGTCTCTCCAAATCAGTGATGCACACACTATATGCACGCACCCCTGGGATGATTGCTAGGGTACGAAAGAATAACAATAATTTTTAGACCAACTGACGGATACTGTAAGATAGAACGCACCTGATGCCTTTGAAACTTCACCAAACTTCACTCATTTTCATCCAGTCCGTTCAGTTTCGACAGATATCGCCAAGGACCTCATTCATACATTGCGTAAACAAAGGACGCAACTAATGGGCAAAATCTAAAAGGACCGAAAATTTCCTTTATACTCGTCGATTCTTGGGGGATGCGAGTGAAAAGTTGTTCCTTTCGTTTTTTGTTTTGGGAATTAGTTATATATCTTATAAACGAAATAGAAAAAAAACAACTTAGATAGTGAATGATGAAATGAGACCCCATGTAGGATATCTGACGTATGGTGAAAATTCGTGGTGCCAGCTGGACGACTCAGTCTAAGGGTTGGGACCCACTGCCATATAGTATGATCTCTCTGTCTCTCATTCTCCCATTCTCTGTCTCTGCCTATGTTTGTCTGTCTGTCTGTCTGTCTGTCTGTCTCTCTCTCTCTCTCTCTCTCTCTCTCTCACACACACACACACACAATACCACATATTACACGATATACACCTAAAAGAAACCGTTAAATACATTATTTGAAGTTACGATACTAAACTTGAGAA